AAAAGCCGCGCAATTGCAGCGCGTGCGGCGACGTCTTTTGCAAACGCTGCTGCGACGAGCGCACGTGCACCGACTGCCGCGTCGCTGTGTACTCGCCATCGTCGCTGCGGCCGTCGATGCTGGACGACACGATGTTTCGGTCGGCGGGCCGGAACCGCCTCGAGAGCTCGCGCAGTGCGTACAACTTGCGCGTCGAGGCCGAGCACCTTGGCGGCGCCGAGCCGAGCAGTGCCCCGGAAGGCCGCCTCAAGAGTAGCAGCGTCGTCGACTTGTCCTACTTGTCCGATTTCGCGACCGAAGGGATTGACGTCTAGCGAGAGTGACAGATCGGTGTAGTCTTTGTAGTGTCAAAAGAGTAATGGAGTTGAATGTGTCGTGTCCATGTGTGGACAACAAGTCTCTTGGTAGTTGTCGCAGTGGAAGGAGGTTAGCCGACGAGAACGAGAGAGAGCGACGGAGTCGGAAGGCGTCGGGAGATTTTGAATGCAGGGCATCGACGCGTGGTGGCGAGCGAAAGTAGAGCCTCATACTTGTGGTACCAACGAGACCAAAAACCGCGTGGTAGGGCGCTTGTCCAGAGGCGAGATGGACATCGATCGAGTCACATGGCATGCGATGGACCTAGAGCATGGACAACGACAGACGAAGCGCTTGTCGACCTAGGTTGTGTGGAGCGCGTACGTCTCGTCCGCAGGATCCGCTGCTCGTAGCTAGCACTTGAGCGTACGACCCAAGCACAAAGCATGCCAAGATCGTATGCGGGTTTAAGGGTTTAACGGGTGGTCAGAGGAAATGCATTGGTTCTCTCCAGGGCACCGACAAGAGATGTGACCGCAGAGTTCGCGAGCGAGCGAGGATGTCACTCGTTACCACTCCATGCGGCGTGTACAGCTGGTCACTGCAGTGACTGTGCTTGCAGTTAGGACGTTCTGGCCACCTGAGACGAGGCGACGGGTCCAGTCTACACCCCCAACCCCATTTGTGGTGTCCGTCGTGCGCTACAACGCATGCATGAAGTGACCAAGTGCCCTAGCAACTGCTATCAGCAAACGCTATCAGCAAACGCTATCAGCAAACGCTATCGAAAAAGACTATCAGCAATAGATCTAAATGCTCCAGCGTGAGCATGTTGATGGGACAAGTATGATCGGTTTGTAGTCTATCCAGGTATCATATTGAAACATGTATTACAAAAGTCTCGAAACATAGTATGCCACCAATAATGATGGTGCACTAATACATATAATGAATACACGTACCTCCGATCAGTTTGATCTTGGTCCTCCTGCTTTGACGTCATTTTCAATTTCGCTTCAAACATGGTCGGACACCGCGTCGCCTACCTCGTCGCTACCGTCGTCGCTTCGGCCTTGGGCCGTGACGCGTGTGGCGAGACGCCCCCGACGAACCCGCCGCTGCCCATCGGTCCCCCGTGCTCGTTTGCCAAGAACGCAGTGGTGACGCTCAAGGCGGACAACGGCGACGCCTTGTACGCCTGCAGTAACTGCGTCAAGGACTCCACGGACTTTAGCGTGTTTGTGACCAGTATGAAGAGCAACACGTGGACCATCCAGCAGGTTGACGGAAACAATCTCATTTCGCTCCACGCCAACGGCTTCAACGGGATCGACAAAAATGTGCTGGCGCCGAGCATGAACCGAGGAGTCGTCGAGCCCGACCAGGTCATGCTTCCCTTCACCGTCGAAGGTGCATCGAACGCGCATGAATGGGCGTGCACAGAAGTGGGCCGCAACCAGATCATGCTCCGCAACGTCGCGAACGGCAAGTACCTCGCGCGCTGCGACGGCTGCGACAACGACCAGATCCCGCCGGCCGATCTCTTCCAACCAGTCTTTACGCTCGCGGGTCCGCACGGCAACCAAACCACCGCTTCAATGGTGTGGACGTACGCGCTTGTCTAAACTTTGCTATAATGGACTTGTGTCCGCCTCGTTTTGTTGGTTGATATTGTCTTTTCATCCATTATGGAGGTTGTCATTCTACATGGTATCAAAATGTCATCAAGGATATTCGGGCAGCGCTTGCGCCACTGTCTTCAATGGCGTCGTTTACTCGTCGGCCTCGTTACGGCGAGGCGACTGCGGCCCTGACTTACCAGCATCGCGGCGCTCTGGTCTGGTACCTTACACACGCGTCTGGTACACACTATGGTGCGCACTCTTCAGTCGGGTGGTCCGAGCACAGGAGTACGAGCTAGCACTCGGTAAGTGGGGTCCATCACGATATGGATCTCCGAGCTCACGCACTCCCAACGACCACGTGTTGGCACTTGCTCCCATCCAAGTCGCGGTGCTCGTCTGCATGCACGTGCTATAAACAATAGCCTCATCAAAAACCAACGCTTCCGTGGCACTTGACCGTTTAAAGCCCGTCATCAGCCGCGAAAATCCAATAGCAGAGTGGCTATCCGTGTTTGAGCCGGCTACTTGTTGGCGATTGCGGCACGTCTTGTACACTCAACATCAAGCTGTGTGCCATCTCGTCGGTCCTTTGTGCGCTCAGCATTTGACTCCAGCAAGCGACCATTTCTCAAGATACGAGAAAAAGAAATTGAAATCCACTCGAATCGTTGCATCCCTGGGGAGAGCGCGATGGATTCATTGCACGAGATCGTGTTCCCATGCACTGTATCCGTGCACAAGCCGTTGATTCCACTGTTTTGTTTTGCTGTTAGTACTACGGGCACGAACTCTTAATCGCCCCCCAAAACCATCGATAGAGGCGGGGCGACTGTATGCACGCAGCCTGTGATTGGTCGGTGCTCCATTGCAACCTCCCCTTTCCCAAACTTCGATTTCGAAGTTCGACAATTAAAAACCCATCGACCCATGGAGTAATATCCCATCCCAAATACCCTCCCCTCCTTCCCCGAGGGCTTACGGAGCCCCGCTAACTCTCCCTCTTCCCCAGAACAACCCCACCGACCTCGTGCCTCTTTCCCAACGCCCGCCCCGACCTCACGCAACAACTCTGCTGCTTCAACCACCCCTTCCCCGAAATAACAGGTTAGGAGTCCCAGGAATATTATTGCTACGACAGATGTAATGGTTTTAGGGGGCAATTAAGCAGCCCTACTACGGGCGCATAAATTTCCCACCCTGGCGATCAGCGCAAAGTTGGATCGGCGTGTGTGGCGGGGAAGGCACAGGTGTGTGACATCCCACCCATAACATATGTATTCCTGGTAGGCACCTGGTAGAGACGGGGTTGCTTGCCGATCAGGACAATGAGTTTTGTGATTTCAGGGCTACCTGCTTCACATCCGGCATGCCGCACCACGTTATAATACCAGAAGCAACATCTCTGCGCGCTCGTGTAGGAGCATGATTGGCGACAGCAGCTATTTCTTGCTCGTTTGTGATTCCAGTGCCCGCGTATTTCTAAAAACGCAATTTTTGCTCTAATATTTGCTGCCTGTAAAACCCGCACTTGAGGAATACGCGGATCGGATCGGCTTTTAAAGGAGGGGAAAGGAGTTGGGCTTGGCTGATTTGTGGGCTTACCGCAGTTTGGCGACATTTGGAGCATTTTTCAAGGAATTCTCGGTAGTTTTCACCACATTGCCGTAAATTCCGTAAATTCCAAATCGCTGGCCACATGCTACCGCGTTGCTACCGGTATCAGTATCAGCAAGCCGGCTACGTCAACAGGTTAGGTCGTAATCCCTCTTGGCAGAAACGAGAGACGTGTATAAAAATGATGGATCGGATTGGGTCTAGTAACTAGTGGTGTTTAGTATCGTGCGGCGTCAATCACTTGGTCGATGACGCTGAGGTAGTGCTTGACGTACGCGGGTCGGAAGTGGTCGTCGTCGCGCATGATGGGCTCGCCGACGTTCGAGAGCACTTGGCACGTGTCCCTGTAGCACTGGTTGTCGGCAAAGTTGATGAGCGTCGCGTTCGCGGCCTTGGTCGCCGCGACGAGCAGTCGGTTGAGGTACGCGATCTGCGGCATCGCTTCGTACGCAGCGCGCGAGACCGGGTCGACCTTGCCGACGCCGCTGCCGCTGAGCATGTTCTTCGGGTTGAACTCTTTGCCCTCCGGGTTGAGGCCCGCGACGTACACCTGGATACCGAGCTTCGTAAACGACGTGAGCTCGTCCGTGAGCGTCTTGATCATGGCCTCGACGTCGCCTTTGGACTGGTAGTCGCACGCATCCGCGTAGCTGCGCGTGCAGCAGCGCGGTGACGCGCTCGCACTCGCCGAGCTGCTCCCAAAGCGCAGAAACTGCTTCCAATCGGACGCGTAGAGCACCGACTTGGGCTTGACCGTCTTGATGGCGTCGACGGCCTTGGCGTGGTCGGCGTTGCAACTCAGCGGCGGCATGCCGTTGGCCGTGTAAAACACTGCGGACGGGAACCGGTGCGGCGCGCTTGCATTCGCCGCCAGCGAGTGGAGGTGCGAGTACCGGATCTTGAGCATGTGGCCGTGCGAG